GATGGTCTGTAGATATATCCAGTTTCAAACCAAACTGATGTCATGGCGTTTGTTGAGGATGGAAATTTGTTGAGCCGAATCAATATCAATTTTTAAAATATTTTTTAAACATTTGTAAGACAATAAGGGGTCTATAGTTGTTAGCGTATCTAGAATCTTTATTAGGTTTACAGAAAGGAATTATAATTGTTTTCTTCCATCCTATTGTGAAATAATTTAGATGCATTGAGGAGTTAAAAACAGCCATTAATGCTACATTAAGCTTTTAAAAATCTTTTCTGAAAACATTTTAACCGTATTGTATGCTCTTCTTTAAAATAACGTCTCAATATTCAAAACAATCTCTACAAAATGTTAAATAATAATTTATGCTGCTGTTACATATAAATATTATATATATATATACATATGTGTGTGTGTGTGTGTGTGTGTCCACTCCAAAGTAGGAAATTAAAACTGTTTCCTTTCAATTGAAACCAACAAGTAGACAGGACAGGTCATGAAATTCTATGAGATCATTGTCTGTGGTTGAATGAATTTGCAGGAAAGAGAAATTCTTTCCGCTGAGCGAATGAAAAGAACTTCAGGAAATTGAAATGAAGAAAATGAAACGCCTAGTTCCATGAAATTACGCTCTAATTTGCGTGATTGCGTGGGCGAAACGAAGCCATAAAAAATTCCTCTCCGTTTTATCTAACGATTTCCAAAATAAAATAACTTCTCTTTCTGGCTGATGTTTTCATTTGCATTTATTAATATAACATATTTTCTTATATTTTCTAAATATTATGCTAAACACAGATGAGGGACTTGTTCAATATATAAGACACCATCGACGTGAAACTCCGTTAATGCACCATCCGATAATAGGAGAATTATATCCTAGGGGATACAACAAACATTTAAAACGATGTAGATTTTTAGATTATTCTAGGACGCAATCCGTATATCACATCTCGCTGTAGTAGGCTATACACTTGTGCAGTTCCCAAAAACGCAGTTTCTTAGTCAATGATTTACAAAATGCAGAATGTTCGCACGGGTACAACATTTTTATTATTTCATTCAATGTAAAAAATCTATAAAAGTAAGAAAATTATCTTTCATGAAATAGGTTAAATGAAAAATGGCAGTATTTCACCATACGATAATAGGAGTGAATTGGAGCATTTAGTAACGAAACCAGTTTATTTCACTTACGACAAGTTTGCAAGAGAAACAAAAAGGATACTTTCGGATAGAGAAACAAAAAGGATACTTCCCTAAAACCAAATGACATATATCTAGACCATTCTGTTTGAAAAAAAAACTGTATATTTTCTCGCTTCATTTCAGGTGGAAATAAGCTATACTACATTATTCCGTAAGGTTATGAAGGATCCTCTAAACTTCGCTAAAATGAAAACTAGTGGTGCTACGTAATTGCAGAGACTTTCTCGTATAATTAGTTCCATACTCTCGTCGGCGTCTGAGTTACATTTCTAAGAGCCTCTATCTGATTTTAAAAAATTAAAATATTGAGTCGCTTTTGAGAAAATTTTGAAAATGTCGTAGAAGCTTCATGTAAAGTATCCCCCAAAAAACATAATGTGTGAAATTTTAGGGGCTGCGATATCATACAGATCAATTGGGGAATATCAATTTTAGTGAAAATATTTCTTCCGGTTTAGCCGCTAATCTTGAACACAGACGGATGGACAGACGAAGAGGCGGACACACGGATAGACACAGAGACGTTTTGTCGTAAACCAATATTTCGGTATCAAGAATCCACAGAATGTGGATTCCGACTACACAACGCAACTAGAAGAAGTAATTTACTACATATGGGAACAGGAAGTTTCCACTTTTTCGGTATTACGGATCTACATTTCGACTGTTTCTCCTGAAAAATTGCCGTTTTTAGCGCAGCATTACATAATTTCCTCTTTACTACGCAAATAATATGAGAGAAAATAAAAAAGTCTCTAATGCAAACATTAATGACAAATATTTTAAAAAAATATTTGATAAAATTTTTAATAATCAAAAATATTCAAAAACGCGGCGTTTATCGCATATTATTCAGTGCTTTTATCTCTTTCCATACAAAAGGATTATAGAAAAAAATTGAAGCCATTTAAGAGATAACCATAATTCTAAGTTTGAAATATTTACTCAAAATTGCGCAAAAATTACTTATTTTGAAATCTTGTAACTGACATAATATAAAGAAATTAAGAATTAAATGTGGAGAATAAAATTCTTTCTAAGAAAAAATATATATTTTCAATCATGTAGCTGTATGAGTGGATGCAAAAAATTTCAAACTTTTGCAATTTTTGTAAATTTAGACTTATCAGTGAAAATCTGACTTTCAGCATCTAAATAAGTATATTCCAAGTAGAAATTAGGGGGAAATGTTGGTGTCATTTTTGAAAAAAATGAAAAATATCTCCGGGGCGTCATGAGAAGTACTTCTAAAATTCAAAGAATTCGTTTCAATTTCACAGGACTTCGAGACTGAGCACATCGTTTGGGAAATATTCATTTTGGAAAAATCCTACGAGTAGCTTAGATGATATTGTTGTATTTAGACAGTCAGTCAGACGAAAAGACAGGACAACAGGCACATGGACGTAAGTTTTGAAAAACAATACTATTTGAAGTCAAGAGACCCCAAAACATGTATTTCCATTAAAATATTGATATAGATTTTCGTCTCTATTACATAACTTTCCCTTCAACTACATATATTTGGTGTAAAACGTGAAGTTTGGAAAATAACAGAATATTTTTGTTTTGGTAGCAATCTCCTCAATTGAAACTACATTGAATTCCCAAACTCTTTTCCATCAATACCACTGAAGGAAAATCACAATAATTTCCCCTGCGACAAGCCTGACGATTTGTTTCCTGATTTATTTTGCACATTTATATGGGTCAACAGCACGCAGGAGAACGTAACTCATCGCAATCGAATCGAACATATTGCTGTAGTACTTCAGTGAGAATCAACAAGAGATGCAGGAAAGGCCAATTACGAACCATGTTCTCTTCCCTTTCGAACAACCCGCATTCCGATTCGCTGTTCAATTAAGGGGCAGAGAACTCCGAGAACGTGTGATGTAACTCCAGAAACTAGGGCATCCCGAATCATGCCTTTCCGTCACAACCGACCGTGTGCCACGAAAATCTGGCTCGGGTCGGTTAAAAAATATTACATGCTGAGTTATGTAATTCAGACCGTAAGCTGCTATTTCGTGCAGTCAGAACGTCTCTTCAAAATATTTCTAATTTATGAAAACCAAAACCGTACACATTAGATAACGGACGGTCACATTATTTTGGTAGGTTGCATTGAAGCTTGAAAACCGCTATTATCAGAGCCCGAAAGTTCAAGTATTTATTTGACATAAAATAGACAAAAACATTTATTTGTTCTAAAAAGAGCATGTAAAAGGCATTTATTATGGATAAATTAGTGGTGCAATAAGACATAAACACAATGAAAAATCACGTTTAAAAGAACTCATTGTAAAAAATTAGTAATTAAAATGATTCACAATTATATTCTAACCATAAAATTTGCAATAACACTTTCGGGTAAGGAAATGATCTGAATTATGGAGATGATGTAGTGCTTTTACTATGCAAAACCGAAAAATAAGGGCTCAGAAATAGATGCTTTCAAGATATGGAGAGAGTGGAACCCATATATGAGACTAGATCCCAAGATTTTCTCAGCCAACGACGAGACAGCTACATACTCAGCAGTGGAAAATTCACAGCAGATTAACTTGATGGCATTCACAAAAATGCGGAGTATGTGCTTCGATCGAACTATCCATTTGACTAACTTTTAGATCCATCTAATATCCCTGAAGACGATGGTCCTATTGAAGATTCATCTCTTCCCAATGAAAGTTCCGTCAATGGTGAAAATGCATCTGGCTATGAATCACACGATAAGGACATGATGCGAAATCTCCTTCCTCGCAAAATAGAACACGTTTGTCTACTTCCATTCGAATTTCGTGCACTGTGGAGGAGAATATACAAAAATGCTACAGCTAAGGGAGATAGAGACAGCTAATTTTGTCTTAGATGAGGTGGCACAGATCCCAGGTAGAGATCTAGATATTATCAAAATCAATCACATCGTGTATGCTACTGGATATCTGGTATCTCAAATACTTTTGGGGCCAGCCAAGAACACCAACGACCGAGAACACCTCCATGGGTGAAAAGAATTATGAAACAGATAGCTGTCACTCGCCGAGAAATATCACTCTCAGCCGAGGCATTTTCTATACCAACGCTCACCTCTAAAGTTCAAAGAAAAGTTCACCATGTTAAGTTTTCACAGAAAGCGGTTGAGGTTTCGAGAAACTTAATGCAACATTATTTATAGCATACGTACTCATAAATATAATAATGTTAACAAATTGCCGATAAGATAAATATTAACGATGTGAGAGATAAGTCAAAATAATTACATTTTTGTAATTTATTGAAAAAACAAAAGGATAGAACAATATGGCGTTTATGCTATCCTACAGAGTGCATTTAGCACTAGCCCTACTAAAAGTTTAAAGAAAAAATTTGGAGCCTTTCTTAAGAAAATATTGTTTTTGAAATTGTTAAAAATTGCAAATAGTGCAAGCAATATTACAAATATTTTAGTACAATAAGTATTTTTTAACAACTATTTTACAGATTTACATTTTATATCATGTTTTTCAAATATTTTATCAAATATTTTCCACTGTGCAGCCCCTTGCTCCCAGTTCCCAAACAACCGCCAGACATATTGCAGCCCCTGCCTACACTCCGATTTAAATTAAGTGTCCCTTCAAGGTCACGAGCTGGAAGGACAGGGGAAGCACTTTCATCCAATCGGAAGATTCAATACCAAAAATGTCAAATTGACATTGGATGACAGAGCCCCTACCCGTCCAGCTCGTGACCTTGAAGAAGGGAGTCTAGCGCCCTGGCGCGCTGCTCTGCGTGTGTCGCAGCGACCCGCGGCCGGTGCGCACGGCGTCGCTGTCGGTGTTCGGGGAGAGCGTGGGCCGCTGCCGCGAGACGGTGGCCAGCCGCGCGCGCGGCCTCGCCGTGCTGCTGCGCGACCTCGCCGCCTTGGCGCTGCGCGAGCCCCTTGCCGCCGGCGCCCGCGAGGTACGCACGCACTCAGCCGGATCAGCGGTTTGTCCAGTTCCCTGATTCGTTGAGCAAATGCTGAGATGGATGATGGTTTTGTCTCTGAACATAAGTGTAGCTTCACCATGCGCACGTTTTCTTGAACTCTCCTTTTGCTTGTAGTGGTCGAAATAGAACTGGGGGTGAGTTACTGTTTACTTGGAAATGCTTAAAAATCAAATCTGGAGTTCGTTTACCAATGCAAATAAGTTTTATATAACTCGAGAACGAAAATGTCTAGTTTCCACAAATGTTGCTAATTTCAAGCTTTTTACTTTCTCCTAAGGAGACATATCTTCAGTACACAGTTTGAGCAGTGTGTTGCATTTAATATTTTTAAATTAGCATTTTTTTTACCGCAAGCAACACTATATCATCCACAAAACTTATTTGTTTCTACCACATGTTTAAACAGCTACGAGTGTGTGTGGAGGAGATATGTGACCTGGTGGTATCACTGACAGAATGCTGTGCTCATGCTGGTTATCTACTGGCTGTGTTGCAAGAAGGAAGTAGTCCAGAAGTCCCTGGACCTGTGGATCGTTATCAGTTATGCCGGGCAGCTGCAGAAGTGGAACATAAGACAGGACTTCTTCGAACCTACAGTCTTCACAGTGTTACTGCTCTGGTAAAATTTTATATTTTTTTAATAATGAAAAATACTTTAAATAATTAACATATGTTTTAGGATACTAGAGCTGGATTAAGGTATAGCCTTTTAGGACATCAGTCCAGGGATAAAGGCAAATTAAAGACCTTTGAGAAAGAACAAAATCGAAAAACACAGAAATCTACTACAAATTTAATATGGCATACAATTGATCTGAAAACGTATTGTGAACATATCATTGTCGTGGCACAAGCCATTTCTATTTCAAGCGTTTTCTAACAGCCCATGTGCCATGCGATCTGTCTCGTCTCTCCCCGTACAGACATGCGCCCGCTTGCGCCTCTCAGGGTAAGCTCGCCCGGGAGCTACCTCGCTTCGCACCATATTCTTTTAAAAGGCCCTATAGGGAACATAGAGCAGTAGCATGCTGTGCCCATATTTGAAGCATGTTCATTGTGCTTAGGCCATCGAATTCTGTTGCTCCACTCACGTGCAAGTCGCGTAGCGCCTGTTTACTGCTTTGTTGAGTTAACAAACAGAAAAAGTTATTATTATTTAGAAAGTATTTATTTTTTTCATTTTAAATTATTCTCCTGCGGGTTATTAGTGTTACTTGATTTTTTTATACTTAAATTTGATTTTATGTTAAAATTATGACAGTCACAGAATGTACTACGTACACCGTTTTCTCCTCTTAATGATGTAGAGAACAGAGACGTTTTGGACAATGATCGACCTTCTCCTATGTTAGGTCGATCGTGCTACATCATGCTGGTGAGAAAAATGCAAGAAAATTCCACCCTTCGTGGTATGATTCACAATTATGGCTAACATGTAGTGAAGTTAGAAGTAAGCTTTATGATGGTCATGTCTTTTATTGTCAATTAAGGAGAGTGCTTGGAATAGAGATAAATATTTGACTTAAAAATATAATCAAAAGCTGCACAAAAACACGAAATATCAAAAGATCACATATGTAATTTAATGAATCGTAAATGCACGAAAAAAATTAATCCGATTTCTGAATTATTGACAGAGCAATATAAACTCGCAACACTTTTTAAGAATCTGAATATCATGAAATCACGTCTGCACTTGCTTCATGGAAATAATGCTTTGTAATGTGATATCAATAAGACAGTTGTTTTGAATAAAATTACTAAGAAAATTGATTGAGGTGGGGCATGGCACCCCATGTCCCCTTCCCGTGATCCGACACTACTCAGTAATCAATTCAGCAATTTGCCTACTGAGCATTTTTTCACGAGCCGCCACTGAAAAATTCTAGGTCTGTATGTAATTATTAAAAATGAGCATTAATTACTTCATTTATATGCAAAATTCATGGAGGAGGGGGGACAGATAATTTATAAGGTCAAGCATAAACTTAATTTCCCTCTTTGTGGTTTAATCCAAAAGCAAGAGGAGAGCACTACAGGACGTTTCAGATTCAGTCATGCAATTATCCTCATGCCTTAAATTAAAAATTAATTTTGTTATATTTGCTTCTTAATTAAATCCTAGAAATTATCCATTGTATGTGTGTATTTACCATGACATCTTGACAATTTATTATAATATTAAAGGGAATTCGAAATACACTAAATTAATTTTGCCCTAACACTATTCCTTTAATACAAGAATGTAAAGATCAAGGCAATTTACTAAGTTCTATGATAATCTTATAATTTTATTTTTCCAATTCTAGCAACTTACTGATATCTGCATAAGTGTTACTGAGAGTGCAAATATATTAAATGACAGTTGTCTCAAAGCTGCAGATGAAGCCCAGGAAGATAATGTGAGAGAGCAGTTTAGACTGTGCTTGAAAAATATAACAGCAACAGTAAATACGTTTTGTGGAAGTGTTAAATTTCTCAAGGATAAACCCACAGACCTCAACTACAGAGCTTGTCAGGTAATAAATATGATAAAATGTGACCATTTTCATTATTGTTACTTTTACGTTTTTCACTGATCTAGATGGTCTATGATTGTCTACGACGGTTTAGATGGTCTAGACGATTTAGATTGTCGGTATAAACCAATTTATATATTAATATCAATTTATATATCAAAATTATAAACCAATAATTTAGCATTTTCAGATGGGTCTCAAGGGTTCTACACGCTTTTCTCCTGGATTCTCCAAGCCAAATTCTAATTGATTATATTTTAGTAAATAACAAACTCAGTAAACTAGCTATAGACAATAGAATGTTCAGAAGTGGCACTTATCATTTTCGTTCGTACCAAAGTCAGCATCTGAATGTAATTGAATAAAATAATATTTAATTGCCAATAAATATTCACTAGAAACTATTAAAATCCACTTACTCTAGGATGAGAGCATAAAATACTTTATAAATATTAATACATAAATATTTTCTTAATATTTTCTCCTCGTAGGTATCAAAGGGCGCTAATAAAAGTTGGTGCCGGTCCCATTTTTGTGGGCAAACTATCTGTTTTTGGAAATTGCAAAAAGTTAACATTGCAAAAGTACAAAATTGAATATGTACTGATTGTTGGGATTTTTATTTCACATGAAATCTGTTCTAAAAAATCAGATTTAAAGAAAAATTTTTTATTTTTGTTTTCCTTGTTTGTTTGTTGTTTTTTTAACATAATTTCTCCTCGAAATTAACTCAAATTACAAAAATAATTCCCCCAAACCGCTACAATTTTCTTTACTTTTTCCTACGAATAGAACAAGGGTCGCTTAAAATAACGGTGCAAATCTCATCGTTGATCACTTTTAAACATGTTTATTTTTAATTAAATAATGCGAGAAAGTATGTGCTGTTGCAGCTCTATTAGTTACATTTTTGTTATGCATGGCGATTGAAGAAATCATACAATGTTTTCAATTATGTTTAAATTAAAGGTGAGAAAAAAGATCATATGTGCAGCATTTAAGTATCAGCTTGCATTGATTGAAATGCTAAAAGGTAACTACTGCGATCTAACCTTTTTTGTCCAAATTTGCCTGACAATTTTCGAAAGCATTTGTACGAGTATTTGTCAGAATAGTGATAAAAGCAAACATTCCATGAATATAACTATATTATGTTACCTTCTGAAACTTTCTAAACAAGTACATTAGTAATAAGAAAAATGTATAGTGCCAAATTAAACTCCTGTTCCAGCTCCAAACACTTTTATGAGCCGATTTTACGTTTTAAAGACCGATTTTACGTTTCTAATTGCCTATTTTACCTTCCTATTTCTACAGCTCTTGATGTCTATAAATCCGCAGCTTATTAATGACAAGGAGAGTATATTGTGTGTTTTTACCCAGAAACAAGTCTTCGTACACATCCCAACTTCGATCTTGACGCGATTTTGTTTTCATCACAAAATAAGATAGTTTCACTTGAATTTGACCCCATGCCTAGCACTTGCGAAAATAATAGTACCATTTCAGATACCGTTGTCCAGTTTTACATAATGTTTTATATAATTTTAATAATTCAGCAATAGCATAATATTTTTTTAAATATTTTGTCGTGCTTATCGTTAATGCGACAAAAGAGGGCCTCTATGATCACTAAAATTTATCAAAAATTGAAATTGAACACTAGTAAATAAATATTTTGACTATTCTTAAGGGGAGAAAAAAATCGTAAGGCTCAACCCAAAATAGATAATTGAACACAATTAATTTAAACGCACGTGCATATTATTCTTTAATTCATATTTTCTCAAAATTGAAAACTGTTAAAAATAGATTAAACAAGAGACAAAGACTTTACGCACTTGAGCTAGGAAATTATTTTAATTGTGGCTATGTTTATAAGTTTATAAAAACATTTATCTCAGTTTCTCAGTAAATAAAACGAAGTCAAAATAATTTGAACAGTTAACAAAACTGAGCCAGAAGAGCTGAGCATTCATTCTCTTGTCACCTCAAAAAGACAGCTTCATCGGTTCACCGTGGAAGAGGACGGGAAGAAGGGGCACTACGCCTACGGGGCACGCGTTGGCAACCTCTCCACGCGCGAAAATCGAGGAAAAGCGCAGGAACTACCATGGCACCGGGGCCGTCTCTCGTTTGCGAGATGGCTCGATTAACGTAGTATCGTGGCAACGTTCGCTTCAATGGCATCAACAGTAATTTGATACATTAACTTTTTCAAAATTATGTTGATGGGAGTTTTTAATGTATAAACAAAACATCGAAAACATTAAAACATGAAGCACAAAACTGATTATAAAAAGAATCGGCTTTAATAAGGTTGTTGCCCTGGGTCATCCCAGCAGTTTTTTCACCATTCTTATGCAACGACGATGTGTACAATTGATATATATTATTAATACGTAACGAAACGTTTCATTATTGCGCTAGGAGTGCAATAATTTTATTCTATTTAAATCAAATAAATAGATCGCGAAAAAAGAATACTTAATATGTGAAAGTGTTTTCAAAAGTCCACATACAAATACAAAAAAATAGACGTGTGGTAACTGCATATGAAGAAGGACTGAAGTAACTGCCGTAATAATGTATGTGCTATCATGAAACGACTCAAAAAATGTACTAGGTCTACCTTGAAATTCTCCCAACTTTTGGTACATCGAATGAGTTCTATTTTTCCATAATAACGGATACACCTTTTATTAGCTTATTTTCATCAGCGTCCTTCGTTACGTCATAATTTCAATAAGATAAAAGTTCAGGGAGGAAATCCCTGCTCTACACTTAGCAGTTTTAACTACGAGTCTCTTCCCATCCTCAGCAGGTTTGGACTGCTTACGAGAATACTCTGTCCCTACGAGATGAATCTGGTGATCGGCAGCTCTCGCTGCCTCCCGAAGAGAAAGAGAACTCTGTCTCCGGGCACTCTCTCGGCGTTGGCTCTCCAACCACGACCCTTCTCCCTTCTTGGACCAGCGAGAATGACTCACGGCTTAGGCGGGAGAGTTTGTTGTATGTCCTAGTTTGGACTTGGTTGTCAAGTGCCCTATTGTTAAAACGTTCTCAAAGTTTGAGCTGCGTTCGATATGAGACTGTCTTAGAGAAATTAGATTTACTTGTTCGAGATAACGTTCGGGTGATTATATTCCTGCTGCTATTTCAAAATCGCAGGGGAAGAATATGCAGCAACGGACGCGCTTAATACTTGGAAGTACTGCGGGTTGCGTAGAACTTATGTTTCAGTCATAAACTCAGAAATCATCAACGCCCCCACACGTCCCATAAATTCAAACTACTCTTTAAACACTCCCGATAGTGATAATAGCAAGATGTAAAACTTTTAGCGAAATTTGTCGGGTGGTTTTGGCGTCTGTATGTACCTGACATACGTGCATTCTCTCTAAAGATGTATTTTATTTAAATACCCTGAAATACTTCACAATTTTGCCATTGAAAACTAAAGTAAATGACCTGGATAACCTGGAAAAGTCAGAGAAATTTGTCTCAGAAAAAGAGTGGTCACTCTGCTAGTCTTGAAAGAGTGCAATGTAATTAATCACCACCTTCTATTTAGTTGCTTACTTAGCATAATATTTCCTTGTTTACGGTTTACTCGATACACTATTTAGATGTGTAAAAATAAACAAATTGCTCCATTATTTGTTTTACTCCATTTCGGAAGTCCTGAATTCCATTTATATCCATATGGCACCCCTAACAGCATTAGTATCCTAAATAAAGTTGAAAAGAGAAGAGTAAATAGGATAGAACATCTAGAAAGAATGGAAAATTATCACATTATGAAACAGTATATCTATTACAAACCTAAAGGGAGATGGAATATTGGCCGACCCAAGAAAAAATGGATCTATAGGTTTTAAATCCAGTATTAAAGTACCAGAGACCAGAGGAAACTGTTTCGTTTATTCCAGTGATAGCCAACCTTTTACATGCCAAACACCAACATTTTTCACATGCAAGTTAAAATGTGTCATTAAACTCAAGCAACTTTTCTACCTTCCTAATGTGTAATGATCTCCTGAACTGCCTGAATTAGTTATACACCCAACTGATGTTACTACAGGTGCCAGAAAGTCTTCCGAAAACACAAAGTGATCTCACGACTACAATGGTCAGTTGGTTGAGAGTGAAAGAGAGTGAGCCAATGAGAGAAAGAGCCAATTCGAGTGAAAGAGTGAGAAAGGATTGGAAAGAGATATCTGAGGAAGGTGAAGCACTGAGAACCAGATCAGGTTGAAACTTGGGAGTTGTCAATTCGTTCTGCTTGCAAGGCTGCAACATACCATAAGGTCTCCACCCCTGATTTAATTTCTGGGGTTGATGAGATAACTTTTGCCTTGACTTGGAGATATATGTAGTCATCACAAACACAATCAACCAATGCCATTTCAACTTTGAAATGGCATTGGTTGATTGTGATTCATCTATCGACATCCCTGTATATTCTGATTCATCCATTAACCTCATTCAGTCCAGTGCCAGCGCTAGACGTAGGCAGACTGGGAAGGAGAGCCCCTCAAGACAAGGTACCCGATGCACTTATGGTACTGATGGAAACAACGGTACTGTAGTCTGATATTTCGCAAAATTTTCAATTAATATTTTCCTTACATAGTTAATTAAAGTAATGACTTCTACCTTATGGTAGAACGTCAAGTCTACCTTACGCTAGACCTAATGGTAGAACTTCACGTCCACCTCATTGTAGAACTCAACGAAATAAATCAAATGACTCTAACATTAAAATATATTCTACTGAAATTAATATTTATTTCATGTAGAACAAAAAGTTGTTTTATTAAACACTAACTAAACACAACGGTTTTTTGGTGTGTTAAGCTCACTGTGGATATTGCATTATTTGACCACTAAATACTTTTACTGAAAACTATTATTAAAAAATATTTCCCAAAACTTTTTCTATCTTAAACGTTGTAATGTTTGTTATTTGTTGAAATAAAACAACTTGTACAGTTTCTTGAGATAGCTTCCACAAATTTAATTTTTCGGAGGGATGCTACGTTGGATGCCTCGCACCTAAATAAGAAGGTTAACAGTTCAAATAACTTGTCTCTGAAACACAAGTTGTGTTGTGTATAACATAGAAAGTATAAAATGACAAAACAAGGCTAAAAATCTCAAATTAGCAGCTTCACTCTAAAAATGATAGACAATTTCTAGCCCAACGGACAATTGAAATGTAACAAAATATACCATAATTATTTCTGAGAATAATTTTTGCAAAAGAGGCATTTTATCTTTCTATCTCTGTTCTAGAAATAAATTGTGTATTGGTCACAATATTTTTCCAGTCACTAATAAAAGACAACAAACTTTGTAAGAGTCGTTCATGTCTCATTTAATACGTACGCATCTCATTTCAGGTGTTTGGTGAAGCTCTCACTACAAGTTGTAATGCACTAGCAGTATTTGCAACTCAAGATCCTCAGTTAATGGGCTCTGGAGCAATTCTTGGTTATGCTGGAAGAGAAACTTTGAACTCGGTACTTAGTGCTTGCATGGGAGTTGTCTCACCATGTGTGCTTGTATGCTCAGTGGTAAGAGAGCTAGCTCTAAAAACAGGATGTTCAACTGGATCTGGCCACGTACGAGATGATAAGGCGGTAGTTCGAGTTCAACAATGTCAAGCTGCAGTACTTCGAAGTTCAGTCAAATTGGCACACGTACTTGGTAATGGAGGCCCTCAAGACCAGCGATGATTTGGAAATGTCTAAGAGTGTGACTATTTTGTAGAAACCCATTATTATTCAAAAATGTTATGTAACATTTATGTAACAAATTAAAGCACAAAATGTAAAAATGTATTGTACAATATTTACAAGTTCATTAAGATTTCATAATAATATCAATAATAATAATAATAATAATAATAATAATAATAATAATAATAATAAATATATCTTACAACAATATCTTAACTTTGAGTGACGTGATGATGCTAAGGTAAGATAGCTAGAATTGTCACAGAGTGTTAACAAGCTTAAGCATCACCTTTGTCTAAGCTATTTTTAAATATTAATTTTTCCTTCAATATCATCCTTAAAGCTCCCATAAATTCCTTTTATGTACACACTTCATGACTAGCTGTAATGATAGAATACGTCTAAGCTTCAGAGCCATATGCGTCACATACTATGTACTCCAAAAGTGAAAAAAATAAAAAATATCGATATCCAAGTAGGGTATAGAAGGGTATAGAATATAAGGTAGGGTATAAGTTATGTAATGCTGCTGCAAAACATGGCGATTTTTCGAAACAAAAAAACTCGTATTGTGGAGCCCTGTTACAGAAAGAATTTATAAATCCTGTTCTAAAATGTAGTAATTTACTCCCTCTAACACGTATTTTAGAAATTGTGGTTCGTGAATTCCGAAAAAGTGTTTGTTTTTTTAAACGTCTATCTGGTGAATTTCATCATTATTATCGCCAAAACTATGCCTGGGATTTTCTCCACAATGAAAAAAAACTCTATCGATCTGACTTCACAGGAAGCTCGGAAATTTTGAAAATTATTTACTAATTTTTCGAGAGTACTTTACATGAAGCCCTGGGACCTTTTCAAAATTTTCAAAAAAAATGGCTCCAAAGTTTTTTAATTAAATTTTGTTGTTGAATAGTGCAAAAGACGTTTAAGAGAAGTGTGCAGATATTATTTTCGTTGACATTCCCGATTTTTCGAAAATTGGAAAAAAATCATTTCAAACTTCAAAATTAGATATAGAGATGTTTGTCTCAGAAAAAGTTTGTGGTACAAAATTAGCACTTCAAAAAAGGTCATGTAGAATTGTTTTGAAAAAAAACGAGTGCTTTTTGCGTATTGGGATTGAAAATAAATTCTCAAAGATCGCTTCAATTTTTCTTTAAATTTTCTTCCCTTACGTAATAAGAGACGATAAAAAATATTATGCTAATCATATTTTCGGGTATTTCTCGGCTTTTTGAAAATTAAAAAAAATTAAAATTACAAAATGAAAGATAGAAATGTTTGTCTCCGACAAAGTCTTTTGCACAAAATTAGCTCTTCAGAAAAGGTCATGTACAATTTTTTGAAAAAAGACGAGTAGTTTCTGCTCATTTTGCAATTTAAATTTACAACATAATTTTCAAAATCCGCTCCAAATTTTTTCTTTACATTTTCTCTTCATATGTAAATGTAGGGCCCGGATAATTATGTAATAACATTTTTTCCTAATGTAAATCTGACAAGTCGAATCTACGATATCTTCACGTTTCACATCGGTTAGTGCCAAAAAACGTTGACGTTTTAATACATATTTTTACATATTATACCGAAAAGAACATATTTTTACATATTACTGAATTTTTCCATTTTCTACAATTTTTTATTTAATTTTTCGTTTCTCCAGTTTGTTTTTGATAAGGTATCTCCCAGACAATTCAGCTTTGTCAAATATTTTTTTCTGTAGGGTCGTCTCAAATGCCGTTATTTCACCGCATTAGAATGAGTCTATCCGTAAATACCGACGTTATTGAAAATAAAATGGCAAATCGACGACGCAATCCCTGGTTCTAGTATGTCGGTTCTCAGCGCGAGCATCGCTGAGAACACAAAGGAATTTCGGTTTGTGAAAATTATACTTTCAGTAGGCGATATCGCGCACCCACATTGCATCTTTCAGAGGTCTCTCTTAACCTTGATACTCTTCACCAGACAATTCGCCCAGCCCAGGAAGTGCCGTTGGCATTTTTCTTCCCCCGATTGCACGCGCGAACCTCCGCCATTGTTTGTAAATTAACTCTTTGAGTCGAAAATCTGAAGTAAAATCACGATAAGGCACTTAAGCGTTTGGGTTAAATCTTATGGGGTAGTGGTAACGCTAAGTGAGAATTTAGCAAGGGGAAGTACGGCTGTTTCCACGCATTTTTATATTTGAAATTCATGTTGGCAATTTGGAAACAAGTCGTGTTTACTGAGAAAGGTTCGTACGTTAAAAAGTACCTCTAATATTTTTTAAAATACTGACAAAAGAGAAATTGGCCGATAGTTATAAATTTCAGTTTTATTGCTTTTTTTTAAGGGTGGCTTAATCTTAGCTGTTTTGAAATAATATGGAAAAGTTCCGCAGCATAGTGCTAAATGTATTCTATAAGATGACTTACACGCCATATTGCTCTATTCTTTTGTTGCATTTTCAAAAATTAAAAATAATAATTTTCTGCCATATCTCACGTAGTTAATATTTAAATTAGAGACGATTTGTTCAGATCATTGCATTTATGAGTACATGTGATTTAAATTATTTCTTATAAAGTTCCTCGAAACTCCAAAATTGTCTGTGAAAATTAGCTCAAAATTTCTCATTTTCAGAAACGCTCAAGCGCCATTTTCTCATACACAGATCATAATTTTTTATAAAATTTTTCGTACGGATAGTGCTAATTGTAGCGTTTAAAATGCCAAACATTATTTTCCTGTATTCTTTTGTTAGTTTTTCTCAAAAAATTACGTTTTTTAAAATTTCTCTCACGCCGTTAATATTGTAACGAATATTGCATCATCTGCCGGAATTCGCTACGCGGATTGCATCACCTGCGGGCACCCCCCCCCCGAACTGGACGGTTCCGGGTTATTGGCGAGACGCGCAGAAGTGAGGCGCAAGTTCCGGATAGGTCGAGACGGGCGCCAGCCAGGTATAAATTTGGGATGCCGTCGGCCGCGAGTCAGTCAATGAGTAAGCACTCAGTCAGTGTATGCAGTCAGTGAGGGTGGAATATTGTTGAAGTGGAAGCTGAGCTGTGAAGTGCGCATTGCTGTGAACAGCAGTGCAGTAAGAGAACAGTTGCGCAGAGGACTGTAGACAGTGAATCGGACAGTGTGCTTTTGAAGAACAAATGAACAGTGTAAATAAATAATCAAGAGAAGTGAGTCGTGTGTAAGGAAATAAACTAGTGAAGAACACAAGTACTGTGCAACCTACTGTAAATAAATCAAGTAATTTTAGTGTATCATTAAGAAACAAAATAATTGTCTTTGTTAAAATATTACCTTGTGTTTTAATTCACCGCTAAGAAACGTTACAATATGCAATTTTCCAGTTATTTGTAAATATTATTGCATTTGTGAATAAACGTGCTTCAAATGACTTCCACTGAAGTTTTCCGAAAACTCAAAAGTTTTCTGTGAAAAAATTTTCAAATTTCACATTCACAGTAACGCTTAAACGCCACTTAACGGCTCCATTTTTAAACGAAAATGCCCATGTATAACAAGGTTTGACTTTTCTATAATATGCTTAAAGTAATATTTTGGTTCTACTATTAGAAAATTGTAAAAATTTCAAAAAAATTACTTTGAGACGCGATAGATGGCAGTTGACAAGAGTATGTGGCAGATTCGAAAAGCTAGCCCAGTCCAAAGAAATTAGAAAACTAGTCTAGTAGGAGAAAGTTTGTGCCATTCCGTTGCAAAACTTATTTTAAATTTTAGGTAACGTCGGTGAGATTTTTCCCCAATGTCTGAGCCGTCGTTCCAATGAATTCTCGAAATGATATGATCGTATTAAACGTCTAAATATCAATGCAAGTGTGCTGTATCACCAGAAGAAATGCTTACTTATGTACTTCATTAATTAATCTTTCAAGGAATCTTTCTTTTGAATCAATTTTATAAATCGACAAAACCCATGTCGCTCGTTCAACGCGGTTCAACGTACGTAAACATCATACGTCGCTAGTACAAGTCTAAGAAGCTACACCGCCTGTCAGGAACATACATCTCTACACAGATCACTGGTCAATAACTAGGTAGCATTCTAGTGGCTAGCGTCCGTTAGCTGCTACGTCACGGACGTCCCCACAGAGCGCTCCATAGTGTGGTATGACCCATTCGCGTCCTTCTGCGCTACGGCAGACGCATTTTAACGCCCTTCCATTGACGCTCGTATGACGGTAGTCTAAAGGTTTGAATACGTCATAAAATCAGGTATCTCAACAAAAGTGGCTAATCAAGTAATTACATAAAATGCAAATAGCAAATAAGCAGCACTCCACTTGAAAATTCCAATTTTCCAGTCATATCCAAATATTTAAATGTTTCTTTTAAAAACAACCTCTTGGACTCTTGGTTTTGATGGTATGCGGGTGAAATTTTAAAAAATCTTACTTTAATAATCGTGAATAAAAAGAACGCAATGAAAATTAAGCCTTTTTAAATAAATTACGAATACACAAAAGTTAAGAAGATAACAATATTAGGAATTTGGAAAAGGGAATGCTAATTAAATTTATTATTTGGATTTTATTTAGAAATTATTGCAAGGAAGAAATTGAGGAAATCTAAAGACATCTAAAAATTGGAATGTAAAAATGTACAGAGAGTTTGACAGAAGAAAAGAGCTGTCCTTTGTTTAAAACTGCGCGGTGAAGAACAGGGCAACAATGCATATCAACAGACGGATTTCCGATCTTGAGTGATAACATCGTGGCGAAAAACGAATCTTTGATTTTCATGTATAAATTAGTTTTGATGGTAGTTGATTTCGTAAAGTGGTGTCCTTAGTAGGAGTATATTTATTCTTAAGAGGTTCAATTGGGAGTTAAAAAATAAATAAAAAAGGGGGAAATGGTAACCGCGACTAGTGTACGCAGATATTGGCAGCGGTCAGAGACGGCGCCATTAGAGTTCAGCAACCATGGAGGACCGCAATTTTTCCAAACGATTTTGTAACAAGGCCAAGACATGTAATTAATTGAGTATTATTTAGTAAATGCCCATTA